TTCACACTAGAGCACGTTTGCTGTCACATTTTATTTGTAGTGTGAACAAGCGCACAAAAAAATCGGATTTGATCAAAAATTCGGAATTGAGCATTAAAACCTGCAGTGTGAACGTAGCCATTGTTGCACGCTATATTCAGGGCTACTTGTTGGCTACCTTTTAGCATGCTAACATTTTGTTTGTGTAAGACGTAGCACAACTCCAACATTACGACAAGCAAACAGATTTAAATTGACAGTCTGTTATAATTCTGTTTTATTTTTAATACAGGGGTATCAGCTGGGTGTACATCAAGTGCTTTGATTGTCAGCGTTGTGCAAACATGTGTTGCACTGTTTTCATTTTGATGTGGTGAGACGAAATACCTAATGGGAAAGTAAATCAATTTGCAAATAAGTACAGCAATCCCTTTTAGAGATGATGTCATGTTTAAATACATATAATAAATCTGAGTATATGTTATGGTTAAATGGTGCAGAGGTAATGTAATTACCAGATCAACAACAGATTGTCAGTTTATGAAGACCAAGGCTGCCCACGTTAGTAAAATAAATTAATAACATATGGTTTATTAGAATAAACACATTGATAGATCTGAATATTAATCTAAAACTGAGCTTTACTTAAGAATTATCTACTCCTGAATCTGGTCTCTGCATAGTACAGTGCATCATCTCTTAGTTGAAAGAAACCAATAAAGACTTTGCATCTGGTTGCATTATTTTTTTTCCAAGTTTCCTCAATTTCCTTCTTTACTTGTGTAATTGGCACCGAGATATTTGGTTATATGAAAATAATTGTGATTTTGTTCTAGAGTCATGATATTGTCATAATTATCCAGGCTTTCTAAGAAATGTGTAGTGAAACTAGTGTTCAGTCCACTGACTAGATCTATGAATGTGACTGATAGCGTCATGCTTCTGTTTAACTTCCACTTTACTGTGTGTCAGTTGCGTAATGTGGTTTCTTGTCTCATTAAAAAAATTACTTTGATTTCACAATTTTGAAAAGCAAATTATGACTTTTATCATTTCAAACAATATTATGATTTTCCATAATTCCCTGTGGCCACC